TTACAGTAAAATCTTTGATGTGATTATACTCTGAGACCTTAGAGGGGGAAAAAAGAAAACCAACCTGTAAACAAAGTCCCCAAGTGCTCAGACTAAAAAAGACTCATTCCAACAGCAACTGTGTAGTTAGGGGAGGGGGGGGGAAGGGGAGGGTTAAGCTGCTTTTTACAGCCACAAGTTCTGAACATCCAGAACATGTTCAAAAAGCTTTAACATGACTTAAGAAATCTGTCTCATCTGTATTCCTAAAAATTGCCAACACTAGCATCCTTGATACACAAGCATCCTTGATAAAAACTGGTCGTAAGCAAATGCTTTTTAGCCTCCTGCATCGCACACTATAGCTTTAAATAGCAGTACATTCTAAAGACCTGCCACCTAGGGACACACATTCCCTGTACGTTACACACGAAGGCTACAGCAGAAACAAACTATACTTACTAATATTAACTGATTTTCTTTCTGAACTTCCTAAGGATTATGTTTAGTGCCCTTGAATCTGTTTAGACAACATAAAATGGTACTGGTTTTAATGAAAAAAGTTTCTCAAATCCCCAGAAGTAGATTACAATTTTAATTCTAGGATTTGAAAAAAGTAAACTATAGTTTGATAAACTACAAAAACTACTGCTGTAAACTCATAACAGACCTCAGAACAAATACCATACCTTTTCTAATAGTTTCAACAGCAGGGCATTTGACAAGGCTGTGTGTGGTCTGAAGGACAGTAAAGCCAGTGAGTAAACCTATGCCACCCTGTAGCAGCCAGTCACCTGCGTCCGCCTGCAGATGACTGTACCTGCCTCCACCCTTTCAACTATTTACCAACAATTTGCATAAACTCACAAAATATGTAAAAAAGGCAGCATGGGTCCAGGTTGATATAACACAATGGTATTTAAATATAAGGTCTTGCACAAAAGGCTCAAAGAGTCAGTCCCACCAGCACCAGCCAGAAAGTCAAGGATTCACAGCAATTTACACACAAAAAAAGGCATAAGGAATATAGATGCAGGTTCAATATGGTTGTTCAAATAGCTACCTCAATCTTAGATTGCATTTACAAAATGTAAATTGCCAAGAAAGTTACTATTCTCTACCAAAATCAGTACTGCAGATGTTTCAGAATACTGCATTTTAGCAGGACCAAGGACAAATTCAAGGATTTGGAAGGATCCCCTCCTTGGTGGGTGAGAAGACTAGTCACACACTTGGAAGGTGGCGGGGGGGAAGAACAGCACAGGGAAGGGAAGGAAGCAAGACTTCTGTCTCCAAAAGTGTAAAAGGCCAATATGTTGAGGAATAGAACAACTTTCTGTGGGTCTAGGGAACACAAAGACAAACAAGAGAGGCAAATTGTAGTTCAATGTAAGGAAGAATATGTCAAAGATCAGGGCTGTTCCTAATTGGACTGGTGCACCTAGAAAGGCGGTAAGGACCTCCTTACTGAAGGCCAGACCTCACGACCCAAGGAGGTTTCCAACATCACAGGAAGTCAGATTAGGTAACTCCCTCCCCGCCACAAATGCCACACTGAACAGAAGATATTTACCGGCAAGACCACCTCCCTAACTCCAACACCTCCCCATTCTCTCACTCCAAGCTTGACGGTTCTAATTTATTTTCTAAGAAAATAATCTGCAAAGGTTAGTGCTTTAACAAAAATTAGGGACACTAACAATAATGAAACAAGCTCTGAGAGTTGGGCAGCTAACTCACTGGGAAACCAGGAACACCGCCCTCAGACGTGATACTCAGATGCTGTGCATTCTTTGTAGTTTCCCTACATCGTTTTCCTAGATAATACTCTTTTACCTTTAGTCGGTTAATAGACTCCGAATTCAAAATGACTGAGCTTAAAGAGATTTTCGTAAAACTTCCTGAAATTAGGGGCACCTGGGTGGCTCAGTAGGTTAAGTGTCCGACTATGGCTCAGGTCATGATCTCATGGTTTTGTGGGTTCGAGCCCCACATCGGGCTCTGTGTTGACAGCTCAGAGCCTGGAGCCTGCTTCGGATTCTGTGTCTCTGGCTCTGGGCTCTCTCTGCCCCTCCCCCACTCACACTCTGGCTCTCAAAAATGACTAAGTGTTAAAGGGAAAAAACTTCCTGAAATTAGAGTGAGCCTTTTTTTTAAACCTCATTCTACAAAGGTTGCAAGAAGCCTAGGCAAGACATTCTTAAACTGCCCCAGCTAGAACCCTCAGAGAATTGATTATAATTCCTCTACCCAACTAGGGATTGAGAGGTGTGGAAGGAAGATACAGGGCTTACTTTATTTGCAGATATCCGTTCTTCCCCCATTATCTCCATGCTTCCTGAAACCCATCACTAAGTAAGTGACCCTGCAGTGTTCAAATGGATGCCTAACATGGTTTGGGTCCTCTTCTAATTCTACCCTAGGTACAAGATTACAGATCCCAGAAGCTCATTACCCAACCATTCAACTCGAAAATGATAGCACTGTCATAAAAAGTACTCTCAGAACTTTCTCTGAAGAGTACCCACTCCCTGTCTGGAATTTCTTTAAGGAGGCAGCTACCTGCCCACAATCCATCATACACTCAGAAAAACAGGCCAGCTGTCCACATCTCTTCTTGATTCCCAACCCATAGAACACCAGTCTGAAACAGAGACTGGTGTTTCTGTCCAAATCAGAGGCCCTTTCAGCCTCAACAACACATTCCAGACCATCTGCTCTAACGGCCAGGCTTTACCTTTCTGAACGTGGATGATGTCGGGGAAGTTGGCCAGGTGCCCCTGATACAGCGCTAACAGGTCCATGACGGGGTCCAGGTCCTGCCTGGGCTGCTCGGCAAAGAGCTCGCCGATGGCGTCGTAGGCATCTCCGGTGAAGGCGATGGCCTGGTTCAGGCCGGCGGAGAAGGCCTGCTGGTCCAGCTCAAAGGCCTGGCTGAGGCCGCGGAAGGACTGGCCCACCTTCTGATACTCCTTCTTGAAGCCCGTCACCTGCTTGCGGGCAAACTCGTTGGCCGTGTGGTTGAGCTGCAGCGCGCTGTCGTCCATCTTCTTGGTGAAGCACTTGAAGCCATCAATCTTGCTCTCCACCTCCTGCAGGTCGAGGGCGGCGGCGGGGGGCGTGCTCAGGGTCAGGAAGAAGTTGGCGCCCACCATCTCATCCTTCTCGGCCTTCCTCTTGCCCTGTTTCCAGGCTTTCTCATCCGTGCTGCTGGGGCACGTCAGGAAGTGCTGGAAGACGTCGCACTGCGCCAGCACCGGGTGGCTGGCCATGTGGTTCATCCACCAGATCAGGCCCTTCCTGCGCTTGGAGATGAAGTCCTCCTCGAAGCGGCCCGTGGCCTGCTTCTCAGGCAGGTGGGGCACCGAGATGACAGGGAACTTCTCCGCCAGACGCGCGTACAGCCAGTCGAAGTGCTTGTAGCGCCGGTGCACCGGCACCTGCGTGTGCGTGGGCACCAGCTTGTAGGAGATGTAGCTCTTCATGCCCTTGAACTTGGTCTGTTTGGTGGGGTCGTCGATGGTGCATTGGAAGGGGTAAGGGTTCTCCTGCCACTCTGGGCCGTAGGGACCCAGCACCACGCACAGCTTGTCCCCGTCCTTCACGAAGCCCGATGCTTCGCCCAGCACGAAGGCCTCACCGCCCGACTTGACGAAGGTGGAAAAGCGGTTGAGATTGCGGCTTACAGTAGCTGAGCTCTTGGCCCCCGACGGGTGGTGCTGCGGAGGTGCCGGGCCGCCGCGGGAGCCCAGCGACAGGTCGGAGCGCGTAGACAGGCGGTAGCGGCCGGCCGCGCCGCCCGCGGACGACGAGCCGTCGAGGTCCGGGTACGCGCCGCTGCCCAGCGCGCCGGGCTCGTCGGCCACCGTGGAGCTGTCGTCCCACTCGTCGTCCCAGTCATCGTCGCTGCCCTGGCTGGCCTGGTAGCCGCCGCCGTAGAGCTGCTGAGGCGACGGCTGCAGGGCGCCCCCGCCGTACGGGAAGCCCGCAGCCGGCGGCTGGAAGGTGCTCGGCGGTGGCGCCTGCTGCGGTTGCAGCAGCGGCTGGAAGGCGTCGGGCGGCGGCTTGAAGGAGGCGGGCGGCGCGGCGGGCAGGGGCTCGAAGCCGCCGGGCGGCACGTTGGCGTAGCGAGCTGGAGCTCCAGGACCCCCGTCGCCCGCCGGGCCGGGCTCAGGGGCGCGGATCACCTGCACGTACGAGGCCGGGAAGAGGCCACGGTCGCCGCGGCTGTTGACCCCCTCGAGCCAGCCCTCGATGTCCTGTTCGCTGCACAGGCTCAGCACCTCGTGTTCCCGCAGCGAGATCTCGCCCGGGTTCTCCGACCTAAAGTCATACAGCGCCCGGGCGCGCAGCGCCATGGTCCCGGCGTCCCGGCGGGCGGCCGCCGACTCCCGGTGCCGCGAGCCCGGGGCCGGCCGAAGGGACCCGCGGTGTCGCCCGCGCCCCGGCGCGCGAAGTGGAGGCCAAAAGATAGCGCGCAGCTCCGCGCCC